AAAAAAACAGGTGACCAGTTACCGTTTGAAACGCACTATTCATCGTCTTCCTCCGCAAAAACGCTGCTGCCGCCTGATTTCCAGTGAGTTTTCTCGTTTTTGGACCTGTGTAAAATTCATTTCAATCCGATTAAATTGTCTGGATGAAATACCTTGATTGGAAACCGATAAAAATCGGTTTTTCGGTACGTTTTTTTGTAACTCTGCGTGGTCTTGGAGGATTCTTTGACTGTTTTTGGACGGCGTTTTAGGCCGTTCACTCCCCTTTTCATCATTTTCATTTCGGAATCTACTTTCCAGGTTAGCTTGTTGGTTGAAAATTTTTTTGTAGCATGTAATTGAGTTTTGTGAATGCACGTTTTTTACTGGGATTTGAGGGTATTGGTCGTCCCCCATAATGTGCCAAGTTATATCACATTTTCTGATGCATTGGAGGTGATGGGGGATGACAGGATGTTGAAATTCCATCATTCAGCTGTGGGCATGTAAGTTACTCAATTTGGTCTTTCATATTACTTTTATTTACATTGTGATATAGTTCTAACAACTTAAACTTTGTTGTTTTAGGTACATGGACACAATCGTTTGTGACCAGGGCCGGTTTCCATGACGGATTTGTTGAACCTCAGACCATTCAACCGTCTGGTAACACACTTCCAAAACAGGACAAGATTATTGAAAAGGATGGATGAGTCAAAAAGAGACGATATGTGCCCCATAAATTGACGGGTGGGGTTTGTTTATATGTGGTCAGTTGATTATTATCGTTTCGTTAATTAGTTGAATAATATTGTCTTCGTTGATAGGTCGCACTGGCACTGATGGTAATCCTTCCCAAACAATTGCTAAAAATTATATTTTTTTGTTCGTTGCACAGGAGGATTGAAAAACTGAGTTGAGAACCATGCTTCAAGGGTAAGTGTTTCTCCAAAAATGACTTTTGAATTTGATGTTCACTTCACCTTTTATGATAAATAGTCTCATTTAATTATACTTGTGTTTTCAATCTGTAAGAGTATTGGTAAATCTCGTGGTCAATGGGTCAAGTTTTGTATCCAAAGGTTGTAGTCTTGAACGTTTCCTTTTCATTTATGTATGAATGATCTAAATTATTAACTAAAAAAATTTTTTAGTTTGTTATTTAGTGAACCACCAGGGTAGATTTCATGGGGAATGTGGGCTTCTATGTGATGTGTTGGATTAAGACCATCATTCGAGCAGTCATTACAGCTGACTGGAATGAGGTAATGATGTATACTTCAATACATACCAAATCAATCTTCATCTTACAACTATATAGAAACCAAGGTAGAATCTTTGTTTGAATTTTGCATCGCTTCAAGACTACATCGCCTATTACAGAAGGACACACAAAAACAGATAAGGCAGGCGTGGACCGCTTATCTTCTTGCAAGATGGAGTTAGGAATAGTTATATTTCTTGTTGAACATTGTTATTTTTTAGTTTAAGTTATGTTGATGTTTGGTAGTGGATTGAACTCCAACTTAAGTAGTAACTTTGTTAATAAAACGCATATTTTTATATTATTGCAAAATTGCTTATGGACATTTTTCTTTCTGCTTTTCGGTGTGGTTTATTGAAAAAAAAAACTAAGTTTAAAAAAAAAAACGCCCAGTAGACGTCCGTAGTGCAAGTCGAAGTCTACAGACGTGTCAGTGAACACCGGAGTCACCCCCAGCTCCTACCTAAAACATTTCAGCAAGGTAGACGTCAGGGGGGAGGAGGCGGACGTATATATAGACGTCCGTCCAGACACAACGGACGTATATATAGGCGTCCGTCCAGACACAACGGACGTTCATGTAAACGTCCCTCCTGACACAACGGACGTTCATGTCACGTCCGTCATGACACAACGGACGTTCATGTAGACGTCCGTGCTGACACAACGGACGTTTTACAGAGACGTCCGTCCTGCCACAACGGACGTTTATGTAGACGTCCGTGCTGACACAACGGACGTTTACAGAGACGTCCGTCCTGCCACAACGGACGTCTGAGCGACGTCACCCACATTAAAACGTCGCGGCGTACCTGCCGGACGTCAAAAGGCCAAAATATCGGACGTTAAAACCCCTTTCTGCACTAGTGATAGGTATATTATGACAAGTCTTCGTAGACCACTCATAATATCTTTTAAACTTATTTGCAAGTTTTTCACTGCGTTTTTAATTATGATAGGTGTCCATAAATATGTCATAATAAGTCTTACGTTTATTACGATAATGTCATCGGTCAACCTATTGTGACGGGTAGTTTTCATCCATCATAATAGGTTGTAATAAAATCTCATTTTTCCTAGGGTGTTTTATTAATATATGATGTTTTTTTATGTTAGCTTACATTCTCTTTTTTATTAGTTTGTTTTGTGTTTGTGTTCTTCTTTTACAATTATCATCTTATTGTTAGCATACTAAAATATATGTTAGAATTTTGGGGGTGAATATGTTTTATATTATTATAATATCATGACGATTGTATTAGTATAGTTGTTTTCTAAATATTTATAATAAAATGTTTTATTTTAGTAGAATTATTTATTAAAATGAACTATTAAAAAAAACTCAACTAATTTTAATAAAATTAAAGATAAAGTAAATAAAATCAATTAAATAATACATAGACGAGTTACTTGATATCTAAACTTATCTTAAAATTTTGGAATCAACATAAAAACTTTAAAAATAACTTAATTGTTTTGAGTTTCAAAAGTATACATCGGTGTAAATTAATATGAATCCGTATCATCTTGCTAGAAACAAAAAGGATCTTTAATATCAATTATTTTACTTTACATTGACGTGTTTAACGGCATTTAAATTTAAATTATCGCTTAGTAATCTTAAGTTGTAAAAATTATACTAGAAAAAACCATTTTTATGCTTTTTTTTGGAAAATTATCTTGAAGATCTCAGTTATTAAATATAAAATGGAGAGATAAAATAAAATAACATTACCATAAACAAGTAACCATTATTCCTAATTGATTTCCTAGATTGTTTATCTCTAAAAATAGATGAGAGGTTTACTAATTACGAAAATAAAGGGAAACTAATTTATAATCAGGGAAATCAAGAAACAAAGATAAATATACTAGAATACATTAATTAAAACGCATTTTCATAGAAAAAATCAGTATAAATGAATTAGTGATAAAAGAAATACTGGTTTATCTCAGAAAACATTCTGACCAAATTTATTGTGGATTATTTCAAAATATTAAGTAAAATTAATCAATCTAAGTCAAACACTAAAACAACTTAATAATGCACAAGTTTAAACATAATCTTTGAATTATCAAATAAAGTGCATAAATTTTTTGTTAATTGTAGTTAGGACGGGGTTATCTAAAGTACTTAAATTTTTTTAATTATCTCATTGAAATTATTATATTTGCAACAATTCTTACACATTCCCACGTTGAGGTCCTGAACTGAGGGTGCGAGTAAAAGCTGGGTTCAGCCCATTAGATGTCACCAACAGAAAGAGGCTAATGCTTCCTGCACCCCTATGTTTTCTCCCTGCACCTCCTTTGGCATGACGAAATAATGCTTGTATTCTTAATGAAAAAATTAATGAAAAGCTAAATTATACTTTCTTCCACTTTCTTATCTGTATATCATCTATCAGCAGCGCAATCTTCATGTCCATTTCTCTATATTCCATAGGCAAAACGAACAGCACAACCTTCACAACACAATCCAACAAACCAAATACACTCCAACTTTATTATTTTTCATAAGGGTATGAATGGTATTTCAGAAAATATGGGGATGCAAACCGAAAATATACGGATGCAGGAAGCATCGAGAGAACACATGAGTTTGAGGCCCAATATGGATCCAAACCGAAAAGTAGAAAGAAACAGAAGAGGGCAATTTCTTTTTAAACTCCCTCTAATTACTATTAGACTCATTTTTTCTCTCTTCTTAAATTAATTCACAATAACATACATTTTCAGAAAATTGGCAATGAACAAAATTAAAGCAAATACTTTACGCCCATAACAAATAGAAGACACGAAAATTGGTAAGGATTGAGAGAGGAATCAGAAATGGAGGGTAAGGATTAGGTTTGGGTTTATACCTCTTTAGATCAAAGGGTATTTTGAAAATAAAAGAAGAAAAAGAGAGTTTAAACAGCAATTAGGAGAGTGTGAATAACAAGTGGGTAAAAGAGAAGCAAATATATCGAGCAATGTGAGAGATGAGAAATGTACATTAATGGGGAAACGTGTGGTGTTATTAGTACCGTTATTAGGGTGGTTGTGGTTAAGGCAGTGGCTGAAGGTTGGTGGTTGCTGCCATTATTACGGTGGTTGTGCTTTTAACAACAAACAAAGAAGGATAATGAGTGTTGCTCAGTTTGGTCAAAATGGTTCAACCTATTATAGATTCATTTTATTAATTTAACATGTGATTAGTTTAATTTCATTTCAGCGTTCAATTACTGAACTTAGTGCTTTTAAGAATATTTTAATGGTCCAATTGTGGTAAAGCTGCTTAACCCATATCACACTTGTCTCAGTTTTGAAGTACAGCTAAAGTTATTGCTTATATAATATAAAATGAGTTCTTTGGGACTTTTGGATTCTCTATTTTCAAAATGCCTTTATTTTTATATATTAAAACATTTTATTTTGAAGATATGACAAATAACAAAATTTAGCAGAGAACCTAAATTTGTACAAGAAAAGTTGGTGGATAAATTGATTAAAACAACTCAGCAACTTGTGATAAGAATTAAACATGTTTGCATATATCATGACCATTATGATTAACCAAGTGATTAGTATGGCTAATCATATTTAACAATGGTATTTGCGAAACAAAATTAATCATACCCTTTCTATCTCTATATATATAACATGAATGAGAATGAACACTGGAGAAAGTAGAAGTAAAGTGATATTTTTTTCTCAAATTATAAACAAGAAGGCAGTGATAACTTAGTGAAAGTAGGGTTAAAGAGCAAGAATGTGTAAAAGCAATAAGAATTTTGTCTGATATATATATCTAATCCTAGTTGATAATGAAAGGAGTAAAAGTTTTGAAGAGTTCATTTTGTTGGAGGGGAGACATAGGTTCTGAGAGATGGTGACTGAGTGAGAACATCAGGTGCAATAGTTGTGTTCTGTGCTCCACTCTTCTGCTGCATTCTCCTTCTAGCCATGTACCCTCTCACCCATGGTGTCACATCTTCGTTTATTTTTATCATGATAAAGAATATAATGCGGTAGATCACAATCATGCTGAAGATCACACTCAGGTTAATCCACTTCGATCTGTTCACATCTATTTGGAACACTTTTTCCAAGATGTATTCTCCTGGTATCTTTGGAAGCTCTGGTGTCTGGTTGTCAAATATCAAGCCCCTCAAATCATTCTGGTATTGACCCTGAAAGAGTTTTCACAGTTTTTATCATCAAACTAAGATATAACACCAGCACATGGCATTCCAGTATTGAAATGTGTTGCTTCTGTTACCTGCAGTGCCCAGAAGTGGAAACTGATGTATGACATTGGGTAACGCCAGACTGGCTTTGGGATATCATGTGGAAGCCTAAAGTAGCCTGAGACCAACATGAATATGCCCTGAAATTTAAAAAGTAGAAATACAAAAGTCAGTTAATCAGGTGTGAATGGATGATCAAGATCAAAGGTTTTACAGAACGAATCCTGTTGTGTTGAATTTTCATATGATCCTGCTGTGAAAACATTGTGTGCTGCTGTCTTCACAGGCATTGTATATGTGGAGATTTAGACAGCATGTTTGGTTTCATATTTTAGATGTGGTATTTTCAAACATGCTTGGATAATTTTAAATTCCTGGTTTCAACTGCTTATGCAACATGATATGCAATTAGTGCTCTTGCATTTAGTAGATGCACTGTTGAATAAAAGGCAGAAATTTATAAAAGAATGATGGAGAAGGTTGAATTTTGGGTGGTGGTTTAAAGGAAAAGATGGCATTGTTTTGGATGGATGTAATTTAATGCACATGTGTGCCTATACTGTGGGGAGGAACTTGCATACCTGAATTCCTGCTCCAATAATGATGCCCATGAGGAAGTTGGGGACAATGCTGGCAATTGCCATCATTAAGCTTTCAACCACTGTGACACTGGCATAAAGGCACAGCACAAAGAAGAGGTAATGCCAAAAGCCAGGGTGTAGGCGAACCATGAAGTAACAGATTGTTCCAGAGAGAAAAGTGATCAAAATCAGGAAGGGCATTGCAGATAATGTGTTGCTGATGACAAATGCAGTGACACCATAGTGACCATTAAGCCTCTCCCTTTGGAAAACCTGTGATTGAAATTGAAAATGTGAGATTTCATACTACATTATAGTGAGTATGATGGTTAGTTGCTGCATGGGGGGCACAGAACATTCACCTTCATGTCTTCAACAAATGAAGGGAATCCACCAATTGACATGAAGGTCACAAAACCAAAGACAAAAGATGCACAAGAACCTCTGGCCTGCAATAAAAGGGAAGAAAGCACATGAACTCCAAGAAGGCCAAATTTCTTGCAAAACTGTGATACATTGACAACTTCAAATTGCTTTCAAATGAGATGTAGAAGTACCAGAATAGAGTTGTAGCCTGTCCCCACATTCAAATAAATGGTTCCAATACAGATAGTGACCACAATGTAGATAACAAGCCTAAGCCAGTAGTAGCCAAAGTCCCTTGACATGTTGATGAAGGAACGTTTGGTTAAAGTGTAAGACTGCATCAAGAAACTAGCCTCACTTCCTCCAGCTTCAAGCACTGTTCCCTTCTGCAGAATTCATCATGATCACAACATTGAATAATTGACTCCAGAAAATGAACAAGAAAAAGAGGATATATACATGTTTGTGTATTGCACTTAATTGCATCATTCTTAAGTTTGGCTATTTTTCATCAGTAAGCAATCATTGAAAAGCACTTACAACTTTGGATATCTCATCCACTTTTTGTGTTGCGGCATAAGAGTGCTGAGAAGTTCGGTAGAAGTCAATAAGAGTTCTGATTGCTTCGGCAGTAGTGATCTTGTCCAAAGGATCATCGCTTCCCTCAAACTACAGAGAAAGGTTCAGACCAAATGTTAGCAGAGGTATGTATGTTAGAAAATAACTGATGTAAAGCACGTATTAAAATGTTGAAACTATATAGAGTGTAATGAAATTGAAAGACAAATTTGTGTCATAAAGAAGAAAAGTTGAATACCCTCAGTTTCATGGACCCTTTGAGAGTGGCCTTGACTTTGTCAAAGTCAGAATTGATGCACCTGAGGAAATGATCAGAAGGGTTCCTCAAAGCAGGACAAGGGAAACCAGCTTGTGCAAAGAACTGCAGACAAAATCACTTATATCAGTCATCAAAAAGCTTCATTTATTTACAATCATTATTGATTAAAGAAACTATGCATAAGAGAGAAAAAAGTGGAATGTGAATTTGACCTCATATGCCTCTGAAGCCTGTCCAAAATAAACAGTTTTGCCACTAGAAAGCAAGTACAATTGGTCAAATAACTCAAACACTTCACTGCTAGGTTGATGAATAGAGGCTATCACGGTTCTCCCATCCCTTGCCAAGGCACGTAGTGTCTGAGTCACAAAGAATGCTGAAGCACTGCAATAGTGAAAAATTCCAAAACAAACTATGACATGAGTTCACCAAAAAGAGAAGTTTCTACTTTACAAACTTGATCAATAAGAGAGACATCACAAACCAAACATTCTCCATAAAAAAAACATTATAGAATATTGTAACCCCCTTCAGAAAAGGTGCACACAATTTGATGTTGTGACTATGCAAAACATTATCCAAAAAGACAAGCATGCCTTTGTTTGTTTCTGCATTTTGTGTATAGAGATAAGAAGAATTTCAAAGATAAATAATATACAGACAATGCATGGCCCGTTATTTATTGCACCACGTTTTTCCTTTCCAAAGCTACATAGAAATTTTATCATTAGGAACCGATGGAAACATGTACAAGACAAGCATGCATCAATCAATAGTTGCCCAAAGCAGCAACAGAAAAGACAGAATACTCCTTCAAGGTTTTTTAACTGTCAATTTAAGAACAATGTTAAAACATCTCTATATATTTTTACTATATTTTAATCTGTTTCAAAATATTTTTCACTTTAAAAAATAAAAAATTATTAGTTAATTCTTCCTCTACCATTCTCATTTAATAGTATCCACCTACATACTTAAATGAATTAACTACCACCATCTAACTCTTTTAATAAGGACACCTTTATATGTAAAAAAAAACTTTATCAAAGTAATTGGGTGATTAAGGAAATCTGTTTTCAAAATATCAAATATTATGTTTTATTTATATAAATTTACATGTAAATTTTGGCATTTAAAATTTCTTAAATGACATGAGCACCTAACATCATATAATCCTTTTTATTTACAAACAGTATAATAATAACATGAAATTATTTCAAATATTTTATATATGACAGAAAACAAAACCCTCTACAGAAAAAATTGCAGTTGTGGGGGAGATATTAAGAATAAACTTACTATACCAAGTTTTTCTTCTAACAAGTTTTTCTTCTACATAAATATCAATTACTTGAAAAGCACAACTATAGGACAGAGTTACGTATACAGTACAAATTTTGGTAGCAGTTAATTAGATGAGAATAGACGTGTGATAACTTCATATGTCCATGCAAACCACTTAGGACAAGGAAATTAAATTCACATAAAGTGATGTGTAACAACCTGTCAAGTCCACTGGTTGGCTCATCAAGAAAAAGCAACCTTGGTCTCATCAAGATTTCCAAGGCAATGCTAACTCTTCTCTTCTCCCCACCACTGATCCCCCGCAAATGCCAATTTCCAATCACTGTGTCTGCACAATCTTGCAGTCCCATTGCCACAATGGTGCTCTCCACCAATGCTCTCTTATCTGCCCATGGCATGTTATCAGGCAAACGCAAACGAGCTGAATATGATATCGTCTCCCTCACTGTTAGGGTACCGATCAAGTTATCATCTTGTGTCACATAAGCCTGGTTAAGTTCATAACACATCATAAAAACCAAGTTAGGAACAAACCCTTTTGCAGAATTAGCATAATGGTATGCTTAAAAGTTGCAAAACATGATATGGGAAAAAAGGCAACCATATTTAGGTGCTATAATTAAAACCAAACCTTAAAAGTTCAAAATCAAAGTGAAAAATGATGACCAAAATAAGTGTTAATATATATTATATCTACTAACTATATTCTTCCAATGAAACATAGACACCGCTAGTAGCATTTAGTATGGAGCATTTAGTACATAGACAGAAGAGAATGAAACATTTTGTTCTATTCTTGATGTTAAAATCTATGTATCATCTTTTAAAAATTTATCTTTTTTTATTCTATTCTGAAGGGAGTTGCCAGTGCTACAGTATCTAAAAAAATCCAAATATTTTGATTGAGGTGTTTTTCTGGCCAATAACTGAAAGAGTTCGGTCAAAGAGAGAAATAAGAAAGAAAGATCCCAAGGGTACCAAAACCTTTAGAACATATATATCTAATAGTATTAAATAAAGATCCAATATTATATTCACGTTTGTTTGAAAGCATTCCACCAAAGACTATATGTTCAGACAAAAGAACCAAAGACCGCATGTTAAGGCAAAAGAGGAAAAAGACTCACTGCAGTGCCAAAAGAGAGTTTGGCTTTGCGTCCATTGAGAAGGATGGTGCCTGAAAGAAAGGCATTTGCAGCTAGGCGACTGGAAAGTGCATCAAGAAGAGTAGATTTTCCAGAACCTGAGGGCCCCATGAGAGCAGTGAAGGTTCCTGGTTCAGCATAACCAGTTAGACCCTCCAAAACATTTTGTGTCTCACCGTTGCTGAGAGTGACCATCACGGTCAGATCCTTCCATGTGAGTCTTGCTGAAACATCTCCAATGATCTCTGAGTTAGCCTTCTCTCTCCAAAGGGTCTCACTGAGAGGACTCAACCCTGGTAGGGTGGAACCATTTCCAGAAGGCCTAGCTGTTGCTTCTATCTCCATACCAGCATGTGTTGTTGCCTCAGAGTTTTTCATGATAATTAACTTTCTTCAAACCTCTCACACACTCACCTTTTAGGCTTCAATACAATATGGTCCAAACTCTCCAAAAGAGTTCAGTGGTACTGATCAAATCCGATCCACCAAAAGAGAAAAAGGGTAGGAACCAAATTCAAAAGCCAAGCAGTGAAACCTATAGAATATGTGAGTGTATATATATGAGGAAGTTACTATGATAGAAAAACCAAAAGGGGACAATAGGATAGGAGGGAGAGAAAAGTGTGAGTGGTGAAATGGGAATGGTATGATTGGAGAGTTTTGACTGAAAGAAAGGGTTTTCTTAAGAGAGATGATGGCTCATGCAAAAAGAGCCTTGTGGAGTTGCATACATAGATTTGTTGAAACTGTTGAAAGGATTTGTAAGTTGTTGTTATGAACAAGAAGAAGTGATTGGAGCAAAGGGTGTTATATATTCTGATCCAACTGATGCAAGGGATGACGAACACAACAGCTATAACACCATGATATGATATGATATCTACTACTACATACTATTCGTTGTTTGGGAGAGCTCAATTCTCGATGGAAATATTTAGAGAAGAAGCAATAAGTTTCAGCCATTATATGGAAGCAATCAATTAATGGGTGCAGCTAGTTGTTGGTAGCTACATTTATTGCCAAACCGACCCCCATTTAACCCTGAGGCTCAGGAATCTGTTCATATTACGTGTGTTTTTTTTTCAACTTTTCCCTCTCTTCACACACCCTCTTACTATTCTCCCATCTCATTTTCATTTTCATTTACATAAACGTTTATGTAAACACTTTTTAGTACACCATTATGAATAGCTTTTGTTATTAAGTCTCATTCATCACTGTTGAGAATTTTAATAGAGTCCCATTAAGAAAACTTATTAAAGGTTACAACTTTCCTTCAAGTATGGTTAATTTAGCGTAAGAAATGCATTGGAAATTACCATTAACAATGTTTTTCAATAAAAAAGGATCAAAGAGTGCTCCATATGTAAAAAAATGTTATTTTTGTTATGCCCTAATGAGATAGAAAGGTGATGGTGTGTGGAAACATGAGCGTAATTAATTTTCGCATGCCCTCTAAAGGCAAAGGAAAGGGTTTCTTTGATTGTAAGGAAAAGCAGCAATGGTGGAAAGATGAGATTGATTGAGAGAAGGGTATCCACGTGAGATCATGGATGATGGGACCAATTAATACTCATCGACTAGTATTCATGAATGAACATTGGCTATCCTTGTCATTTGGTTACAACTTACAAGGATCATTCATTCATTCATTCTCATTAGTATTACTATTATTTTATTTATTTTTTAAATCTTATTAGTTGGGAAGAAGTTGGGAGAGGAGAATTGATTAAAGGATATAAATGATATGGATAACAAGAAAATGCTATGTACAAGTAGATACATGTCATGATGTAAACGAAAGTAGTTCAATTATAGTACGCCATCTTCCTTCTTATAATTATTATTATTATTTTGTGAGAAAACATTAATTATAACAAGATATTTTTGTTGCCTATAGTAGAGATATTAAATTTTTGTTATTGAGTTCCCATCAAATCATATAGTTATATCCTCTTAGTAAAATTTATTTAAAAACGATAATTCGTGTACTAATACGCCGTTTTTTATTAAAAATTATTATTATTATATAAATTTTGTATTTTTTATAATAATCAATTTAAAAATTATACTGACAATGATTGTTAACTGATTGACTTAATGCAGACATTTATTTTTCAATTTTTTTTAATTAAAGTGAAAAAAATAGATGCTAGATTTAACACTGCTTATTTTAAGACTTGTTCTCTTAGATTTGTTTTATGAAAATGAACTAATTTGATGAGTGGAAGTCAAAAGTCACGGTTAAGGACCGCCATACCTTCCGCATGTGAGTTAGGTATATTGGAAAGAAAATACTCAAATGTAGGGTACGAGATACCGTGATTTATGTACTTTCTATAATTCAACTATAATTATTATTAACAGTACTGTATTTTTTGAACAAATTTATTTTAGATATTATTATATATTTTAACATCTAAGTTATATTAACATTTTAAAATTCATCCATTATATGTATCACATAAAAATTTATTAAAATAATAAATAAATACAAATACATACTTATAATATTATGTGTGAATAAAATTCAAATTAAATTATTCTTTTCAAAAAACAACATAAAAAACTTTAAATTATATATACTAACAAATGTATTTTATTTATGATTAATCTTCATTTAATCGTATTTAATATTAATAACTCTAATTCATTTTTATATAATTTGTTTGTAAGAGAGGTATAATTTCATCAATATTAATTTGGTAATGAATTTTTATGTGATACGATAAATTCAATAAACACTATAAAATATTATTAAATAATGATTAAAATTAGAAACAAAAAATAATTAGTCATTGACTAAATTTTTATTTCATAAATTAAAAATTATTAATGTTTGAAATACTATTAATTATTAATAAAAAAAATCTATTATTAATTTATAAATTATACTTTAAATTAATCTTTAACATTAATTATTAAAATTTTAATCACTTAACATTGTTAATTTAGCTATTATTTAATGATTTTTTTTCATAGTGAAACAACTCTAAAATAAACTGTAATACCATATTAAATAATAAAATTAAGCTTCTTGAAACATAAATTTAAATTAATTTATTGATCGTATATATTGTTAGCATACATGTATCATATATATATATATATATATATATATATATATATATATACAAAAAAGTAATTGTAAGAGCCTGAAAAAGTTTAAGGCCATTGGATCCTATGTGGGGCAGTCAGGTCTATCAGACTAAGGTCAACCTAACATTAGGAAGGGCTTCTCATAATTTTTCATTTTCTAAGCTCTTCTCTCTCTAAGACTCTTTGCCCTAAACTCTTCTCTGCCTTCTCTCTAAATTTCCAGCTCTCTGAACCGTTCAATCTTGGGTTGGAAGGTGCTCAGACGTTCACCACATCAAAAAATTCCTTTTGAACCGATCGTATTTTCATTTGGACCGGTAAGTCGTGTTTTCCTTCTCTTTCACTATCTTCGAACCTAGAGCATGTAACATTACTGGTTGTATGTTACTAAGGGGTTTCGTTTTCCTGTTTCTGCCAAATCAAGCTCTAAGAGTTGTTGCTGTATGTATGGGGCGTCCTTGTGAGCTTGGTAATACAACTCTGAGGTAAGGGGAGCTGGATCTTGTTTTCTGTTATGTAGATTAGGGTGTGCATGAGATAAATTGTTGTTTGATGTGAGGAAATAACGTATGTATGGATTGTTATGTATGGGTGTTGTTTGTACTGGAATTGAAAATGTTGTATGTGAACTCGATTGCTCAAATGTCTGTCTAATAGTGAATCTGTGGAATTGTACGTATGAATTGGTATGGATAAGGTTTGAGACTGATATTGAATGGCTGTATGAAGTGAAGTCTGCTAAATAGGTGATTAGAACAACACTTAAGTGAATTAGGGTGTTTAAGGTCTTATTAGAGGAACTGAGGTGGTCAAATTGAGAATAGGGAATTAAAGATCATTCTAGTCAGTTTAGGTGGCTTAGGCAAGTCAATTGGGACCTAATTGGACCCCTAAAATGGTCAAAATCAGACTCAAGGTGATAGAATTATATTTGGGCCCCTAGGTTGAGAGATTTTCAGTTTTCAAGTATAAATCAACGCATAAACACTGTAAGAAGATGTTAGGAAGGGTTAGAATAAGTTAGACATGTTTAATTCAATATATACTTCGAGTTGGGGGTATTAGAAGTTCACCAAAATGGTTAGAATGAGTTTGGAGTGGTAGAGTTGTTTGCAGAATTTCATTCTGCAGATTTTGCAGATTCGCAGAGCGAAGCCTTTCGCTTAGCGAGTCACCCTGGCGAGGTGCTCTCTGCCAGGGCATTCGCATAGCGACTCTGTGCGCGATGCGAATTATAACAGAGGGTTGCTCTCTGTTTGATAAGTCGCGTAGCGAATGTAGTCGCTTTGCGATTGTTGCTAGCCTGGAAAATTAGCCAAATTAATTCGAATAGCGAATTAGGGACGATATGCGAGGGTTTAGGGACTGATAATGTGTATTAGAATTTTAGTTTAGCATAGCGCACAAACTTGGTGCGCTATGCGAATTTTAGTTGTCTTCTTGCCAGGAAAATTCGCCCAGCGCATTAAGGGTGGTGCGCTATGCGAATTTTAGCTGAAAAACACTCCCCTTGTCAGGAAAATTCGCTCAGCGCACCAAGGGTGGTGCGCTATGCGAATTTTTGATGTATTGCCTTGCATATTGGTGCATTGTGAGACCTAGTTCAGTGAGTATCAAATTTTTCCACATCTGTTTGAGCTGTTTGATGTTGTTTGACTGCCAGGATGTATGTATGTCCATATATTTGAATTGTGTGGCTTGAAATAATGTGACTGCAAATTGAAATGATGAAATTGAGTGTGAACTGGACATCTCAGGGTGAGATGATTGAAAGTGATGTGTGGGGTGTTGTTGTTGTTCTGTATAACTGTATGGAGCTTTGAACTGGTATGTATATCCCTACACTCGAAGCACTGTTCATCCTCAAATAGAGGAGAGCAGTGTAAGTGGTGAGAGTAGAGGGAGATCCTCGTCTATAGTCTTAGAGTTTAGACATAGACAGATGGGGGATTTACCTTGCATAGTGTTGGGGAGTGCCAGCTGAACTACGCAAGTGCAAAGACGACCAATAGTTCGACAGTTATACCAATCCAGATGAGTCGTGTGAGTGTTTGAGTCATGGTCTAAAGTGGTATGCCTTGATTGTTTTTTATATGTGGCTAAGCACGGTGATATTTATTGATTGAACTATATGATTACTGCTTGATTATCTAGCTCACCATTGCTTTCTTTGTTGTGTGTTGCTTGTGTATGTTTTCCTTTGCGATGATCATCCACTTGGATGGGAGCAGATGTTGTTGAGGAGGTTCCCTTGGAGCAAGAGTTAGAGGATGTTGATGATGCAGTATAGTATTTTTAGGATTTCTAAATTTGAGTTGGTGTTATTTTGAAATACTCTAAACTGTTTAAGTTTAAAATTCTGNCTGTATAACTGTATGGAGCTTTGAACTGGTATGTATATCCCTACACTCGAAGCACTGTTCATCCTCAAATAGAGGAGAGCAGTGTAAGTGGTGAGAGTAGAGGGAGATCCTCGTCTATAGTCTTAGAGTTTAGACATAGACAGATGGGGGATTTACCTTGCATAGTGTTGGGGAGTGCCAGCTGAACTACGCAAGTGCAAAGACGACCAATAGTTCGACAGTTATACCAATCCAGATGAGTCGTGTGAGTGTTTGAGTCATGGTCTAAAGTGGTATGCCTTGATTGTTTTTTATATGTGGCTAAGCACGGTGATATTTATTGATTGAACTATATGATTACTGCTTGATTATCTAGCTCACCATTGCTTTCTTTGTTGTGTGTTGCTTGTGTATGTTTTCCTTTGCGATGATCATCCACTTGGATGGGAGCAGATGTTGTTGAGGAGGTTCCCTTGGAGCAAGAGTTAGAGGATGTTGA